TTTTGTTTTTTAATTCCCCCCCCCCCCCCCCCCCCAAATTCTTTATCCTTTAAACACTAAGAAAGATGTCTAAGCAAATACTGTACAAAACTTGTTGTTATGAATATCACAATAGTGGATGCTAAAGATAATTAAACCAAAATTTGAATAACTAAATGTGAAGGTTTAAGTGGTAAGACCTGGTTTTGAGTCTGATAACCTTTGAGTATGACAGCTGCAATAATTGTCTTGGCAGTCTTAACATGTGAGGTGAACAAACAAAAATGATGAATTCTTCCAACAGAGCTGAGCATTTAGTCTGTGCCTTTGCTCGGTTTTCAGGACTGTCCATTATGAAGGTGGAGCTGTGTCTATTCATGCTCGTTCCCTTTGGCGACTAGAGACTCTAAGAGTTGCGTAAGTAAAATTTCTCTCAGAAAAAGAAGTCTCTTTGTCAGGGCACTTTTTTATAGTAAGAGTGTTCCTATAAAACCAGATTGATAACTTTAAAACCAGACTACTAATACTAAAGTCATCTTCAGAAAGTGCTCTGTATCACTTCCCTGAAAAATTAAACAACTTCCAGTGAAAGTGAGTGTTAACACGTGCTGTGTGTTTTGATTATTTTTCTGAAGTTGTTAGCTGTCAGTGAGTTCAGAATTTACATTTTTAGCACATATATGTGACATAATCAGAACTGTTTTCTTTAAATATAATTCATGTCTCCCACCTCCTAACTTGTTAAAGCTGGTTTGAAGTCTTTAAAGGGAAAAATTTACAGAAAAAAAAATGCTACCTTGCATTGTTGGAAATGTTGGAATGGTAGTAAGGAATTGTGCCTTTTTTAAGTCATTGCACAGTAAAATTACACTGATATTGTATTACAATATGTGCTTTTGATAAAATTTCTAGTGACTAATAAATGATTGCCTTCTAGAGATTAAATCATGGTAGCCAGGGAAAGATTGGTCTGTAATGATGCTGGTTTCTGTGTGTGCATTTTATTTAATAGGATGATGCTAAATGTCATTGATAGGGCAGTGAGACTTTTGCTTTGGACTCAAATTGACCTTGAGAGCGTGTAAGTGACAACAATGAAACTGGAAGGATCTCTGGTTTTTATTTTCCTCATTGCATTTACTTCTCTAACAAGCAGTAGTACTGAAGCAACGTGGGGATTTGAGAAATTACAGGTTTCTGTTATGACAGTCATATATCTCATTCTGACAGGCACAGTATACAAACTTTTGAAGTAGAAACATTTGAATTTATATGACTGAGAGGAATTGTGAGAACTATCAAAACACCTATGTAAAGGCAGCAGTAATCTTTCTATTTCTAGGAACATGACATTCCTAGAGCCACCTGCCCAAGCACCCAAATAAAATCCCAGCGATGAAGGTTTCCTTCAAGTTCCTCACATGCCTCTTTTCCAGTATGGTGTTATAATAGCTATATACCTTCATTGCTGAATTGCGAGTACATTGCTCTTCATGCAACTTCTTCAGTTCATAACTTAGTATATGCACGCCTGAAGTCCTGTATTAGTTCTGCTCCCTCCTGGAATGACTGCAGATATAATATTAATCCTGTTTATTTTGTGTGATTCTGAAGGAGTCATTGTTTCTGAACTCTCCTTTTTAGCGGCAATTTCCCATAATAATCACCTGGGCCATCTGCATATACAGACTGCCTCTTGGGATGCCCTGCCATGAAACACCAGATGCTATTGCTCAGCAATGCGTTCTTTCCCCAGAGGTGATAGGGATCATATTCTCACATTGCAGAAAAGAATTTTTAATGGTCAGAAATGGCTTCACGAGATGGTTTCTGCTCAAAAGACTTTTCTAAATAAGTGCACATGAATTGTCCTTTTTCCTATCCTGCAGGTATGAACTAGGGGCATGGCTCAATTGCACTACATTTACTATTTTCTTTTTCTTACAGTCCAAAGTTATTAGGTCCAAGGGAAAATTGAATCAGACTAGAGAAAAGGCAGCTCCCCAGCATGGCTCATAATATGAAAAGTGCAGAGCTGATGTGTTTTTCTTTTTTGTGTCATTCTTTTGGCCCCTTTAAAACCAATAAGTAAAAATATTTAGAAGTTTAATTAGAAGAAGTGTAATAAATCCTGTTACAAAACAGAAGCTAGATATTGATCCTGCATTTTAAAAACTCCTGCACTCTAAAAATGTCTGCCAGGTTGGTTTTGCATACTTTGCATGCAGTATGGCCAGCTCTTAAGAAGTTGCTTAACATGCTTGAACAAATGGATATTTGTATTGGATAGGTAAGTGTTTTAATCTGCTACTTGTATATGTCAGGAAAGCCAGAAATTCCTTAAACCTAAGAGCTAAAATAGGTTTTTTTCAGAATATATACAAAACTTATGCGTAAAAACTTTTAATGTTTTTACATGCTGTATCTGGAATTACTCTAAATGCAGGTGAAAAGATGCAGTAATACAAAATTCTGATATATAATCAAATTAAATTCATAAGGATGTGTTTTTGTATTTCATTGGTGTTGTGGGAACATTTATTGATAATTTAGGCTATTTCAAGCCACAGTAAGCATAGAGAATTACTAGTATTTGTGGAAACATATCAGAACCTCGGCAGTGTGTCATAATTGCATTATAATGGGCATTTTGCAAACACAACATAATTATATGATTTCCTCTCCAAAAAGCAACATGCTCGTACACCTAGAGTGTAAACTTTTGAAGATCGAAGACTGAAGGAAGTTTTGTGAAGATCCAGGAAAATATCCTAGCTGTAGCAATTGTTTCAATCTAAGGAATATTTGACAAACCTTCTGAAGAGGCTTTGTGAAATGCATCACAAAGTAACTTAGTAACTCCTACACAAGTTGATCTTCAGGAGTTAATCAGGAAGAACAGAAGAGTTTTCAGTTTAAGGCAAGAAGTTAGTAACCTGCGACCTGTATTTCAACTTGAGGAGTTCTTGGGGAGCTTAGACGTGAGGGAAGAAAGGCAAAGATTTTCATTTCTGCCTGTAGAATATGAAGAATCTGGGCCAGTCTTTGCTTAATAACTGAAAAAAAAATTATTTTAGGATGAGTTTATTTAGCTATTTTACTTTTTTGCACACTAATTGAAGTGTGCCTGAAGTGTGCTGGCTGCTGAAAGGAGAGTGCTCTGGGAGAGTGAACAAACCCAGCTGCTTGTAGATGAAATACTGGAGAGGGAACTGGCAGATCTAAGCTCTCTGTGTACAGGATAAGCCTCATTTTCCGTAGGCGGGCTGTAGCTTCTCTCAAGAAGAATTCAGTCTGAACCAATGCAGCCTGTGCAAAGGAAGAGCTTAAGATTATTTATTAGAACGGTTTTATGGTCAGTAACCAGAAAGTAGCCATTTTCTGGCTGATAATCTGATATTTAGAATTTTTTCCTTTTACTAACTTGTTGGCAATATAATGTACTTTAACATATTTTTACCAGTAGTTAAAATCTATGTTTTGTTTCAAAAAAAACCCCCAAATGTTTCCAATGAACTTTTTTAGGTGGAGTGGCAGCCACATTAGATGGGGACAGCCATTCAGACTAAGACACATAACAACAGGAAAATATCTAAGTCTCCTGGATGACAACAGTCTTCTTCTTACAGAAAAAGAGAAAGCAGATGTAAAGTCTACAGCATTCTGTCTTCGGTCTTCCAAGGTACGCAATAAGTGCAGCATTAATGTAATTAGTAGTAATTCAAATCTCTTTAGTAAGCAAACTAAAGTCTTGCTAAAAAATATTTCCTATTGCATGAATTATAGAGCCCTCTACCTTTTCACTGATTAAAAAAACCTTCAAACTCCATATAGAAAGCTGTTATTGTACTTTCTTTGGATAATGCTACCTGGCTCTTTGTCAGTTGTTTTTTATTTGTTTGTTTGTAATGTGCTGCTTGTCCACTTTTTAATAGTTTCCTCATTTTTTTATTTTTTTTTTAATTTGTTTTTCTGATGAACTTCCCTGGTATTTTGGTCTTATATCTGTTGGCTGACGCAGGAAAAATTTATAGTATTATTTATATTAAATTGGAAAATCATGATTTCTTTAATTAGATACTTTACTGTGATCTAATTTAAAGTTACCATAGTTTGAGTTTTCATTTTACTCTTTCAATAAGCATTTCAAGGTCAGAGCAGTACTTGGTATAGTGAGTAAATGGTTTAAAATAGTACTATGATAAATTCAGTAATATCCTTTGATTTCTCATATTTTTCATCTGCAGCATGATGTTGCTGGAAATTTTCTGACAATAATGTTGTTTTTTTAAAAATAATTATCTTCTAAATGTATAGTAATAATAAACAGAATTATTTAATAACTTGTCTGTAGCATTTACTTAATATATATTTCATTATTTTTCTGCTTGGGAAGATATGAGAGAAAAGGAGCTATACAGGCTTTTGCACTCTGATTACAAAGACTTAGTTCAGGTGATTGTTTCGAGACCCAGACAATGTATTTTTTTAAAACCAGTTAGAAAAGCCTTAGAAATATGTAAATATTTTAGGACAATGCAGTGCAATTATAGTGGGGAATTCCTGTTGCAGTTATTATAGATCTCAGCAGTTATTCTCCTTTGAAGCAAGAGGGATAAAATAATTAATTCACTGATTCTCAAGATGGAGTCTTCAGTGATGGTTACTCAAAAAAGAGTGGAACAATATATACTGCAGTATACTCTTACATGGATTATTTTGTGCAAAAAATACTTGAAGGCAAGAATTGTTAGTAATAGAGTCTGTTGTTGATATGGAGAAAGTGGTTCATCTCTGTTTGCTAAGTAGCATGTCATGTGTTTTGGAGATTAGATTTTTACGTATTTCAGTTTTTTTTTTTTTATTTTTTTTTATTTTTTTTTTTTATTCACCCTGAATTTAGAAGTCTTATTTGGAAATACTTTTAAGATTTAAATTTTGAAGTGTCTTTTTTTCTACTGTGTTCAAAATAAAAAGGTAACACTTTTTGATTTAGTTAAGTTACCCTGCCTATTCTGTGCTGAGCAGAGTGGAGTAAAAAGCTTTGGGAGATGTAGAAACATGTTATGTTGATCAGTTCTTGTAGAAAAAGAGAGTTTTTTTTTTTAAGGAATGTCTTTAAGTTGATCAGCACGTGATGGATATAATGTTACTGTTATTTAAATATGAATTTTCAAAGAAATTGGAAGTTTGGAAGGCAATATTTTATATTTTTTTGATACCAGCATTCAGACCTACTTGAAAAGAATTACAGAGATGACACAGGGGAGGAGTATATAGTTTGCTCTGCATTGCTGAGGATGATTCCAGTGTCCTGCTTAGGACTTCTTAAAACAGTGTCATGTTTCACTTTATTAGGATACTGGCATTGAAAATTTATAGGTGCCTTCCCTCTCTGGACAAGAGCATAAAATAAATATTTCTAAAATTATAGCAGCCCTTGAAAGGCTTCTGTAAAGAAGGTAGCCTGCTTTAGGGATCTCATCCTCCGAGTATGTGTGGACAAACCATCCAACCTTTCACTTGTGTTGTTGCATGTAGTTAGCCCAGAATAATTATTCCTCAATAAAAGGCAGCCTAAAATCTTCTCTATTGAACACACAGCTTTAATAGTTGGGAGTATGTCAAGTGGCTGAATCTTTCTTGTATCAATTTCAGTCCTCTTTTGCCACAACCATAAATCTTCTTTCCACTACTTTTCAGGTAGTGGAAGGAAGTATTATGAATATCCCATTAGTTGTGGTATATATAGCTTAGCTTTAAATGGGCAAAAACAGATATGGGGAAGAATACTTCCATATGTCTTGAAGCTTAACGTTATGAAAAGTAATAATGTGAATTTCACATGAGGTTTTTTTTTTTTCTTTAAATTTTTTTTTAAGTGCTTCAAAATGCATTCATAATTGTGGGGTGAAAATCTAGTTACATGCCATCTCCCTTTACTTAATAAATGCTTTTCAAATTAGTGATTGTTTTCTGCTCATATTAAAAACCCTATCTTTGTCATCCTTTACTGTGAAGCTGTGTCCCCAGACTGTTAAGGCACATGTGTATGGTGTAATTATTCTCCTACTCTTTCCTGGTTGTAGTAGGATGGAACATTTAGAAGACTGAGAAACTGAAGGAAGCAGCTTGTTCTCTATGGCTGACTAATGAATCAAAGTGGTTTTGATTACTCTCAATGGAGAGGTCCTAAAACAGACCTAGTGGTGACAGCCTCAGGAACAGGCAGATCCAATGTGCTGTGGACAAGGTCAAAGTCCCTTGAGAAGTTTTGGGTATAACTACATTAACATGCCTCCTACAGTTAACAAGATACATACTCATCCTTTGTAACTTGTTTTTTCTACACTTTGGATTTAACAAATTGTGCAAGCAGTTAAGAGGTATTTCAGACAGTTGTACCATATGCTTGGAGAGATTAAATAGGGGATCTGCCATGAAGGAGGATGGCACAGGCTGTTTGTCTTACAAACTAATGTCTGTTGTGAAGGAGTTGGTTCTTAGAAGAGGCAAACGCCTTAAATTACAAACTAGTATCATTTGAGGAAGTAAATTTCCTCTCCTAAAATGACTGCTGTAGTTTAGGAAACCAGCTGGACTGACACGTGGTCATGCCATTCTTCTTTTACGGCATATCAACAGGCCAGTCATAAACACACAGAAATGTATTTCTCTTCTTGGGGAATACTGATCCCGTGGTTGGGCAGTAATGGGCAGTGACAGATTAAAGGCCATCTCTTTGTGACAGCTGGAAATAAATTGTAGGGAGGTGCTCATCTTTTCCAGGCTGGAAAAAAACCCCCGAAGTCCCTAAGAAAAAGCTTCTGGAGGTTAATGCTTGGTTTTTCTGAGGGATTCAATGTATTTGGTGGTGTTTTGCAAGCTTTTATATTTCCAAAATGACATGCACTGTCAATTATGATCCTGGTTCTTTTCTAGGCAAGTGAAATGAATACACCTGACTTTCCTAGTGTAATACACTGGGGTTTTGTGTAAACGGAATGTCTCTTTTTATCTTTTCCCTAAAATGTTTAACCATTCACCATTTTAAAATAATTTTGTTGAAGAAGGGTGTCAAACATTCTTTCAGGTGCAGTTCTGGATAGTTGCCTAGTATTCAGGATTTTATGCAAATATTAACATATTGGTTATTGTTCTTGTTTACATTTTTTTTTCCTTCAGGAAAAGTTGGACATAGGTACAAGAAAAGAGGTGGATGGAATGGGAGCACCTGAAATAAAATATGGGGATTCAATATGCTTTATACAACACGTAGATACAGGCTTATGGCTCACGTACCAGTCTGCTGATGCAAAGTCTGTGAGAATGGGCTCTGTGCAGCGGAAGGTGAGAACAGAAATACATTGCATTCAGTCACAGTCTGGCAGGACAGGGGCAAGGAGGGGGGGAGTGAAGGGAATGACAGCTATTTTCTGGGTTTCAAATATTTTAAGCGTGTCTTTTTTTCATTGTGAAAAGGTTGTGGGGTTTTTTAAGTTATATATTGAGAAGTTATGTGATGTACTGAATTCTTAAACTGAAAGCCAAACAAGGTGTACGTGTTAACCCACAAACATTAAGCCACAAAGGTTGATAAACATAGATATACTTGCTGTCTAACTAAAATATTAGTAATAGCCTCTAGAATATGCTAAAATCCCTTTATTCAGTATGCTGCAGTTCGGAATGAAGAGTTCAAAGTAATTTCTTTCCATGTTGTGAGTGTATTACCTTTTGGCCTGAAATGTTCAAGTCTTGAGCCTTGAGGGGTTTCTGCTTTTAAAGAATAACTGTGGCCAAGCAGAATGGTAGCTCAGCATAATAAAGTAGGAAAAAGATTCTTTTACAATTTAATACATCTTCCAGAAGCTACCTTTGTGTTAGTTTTTATTATAAATATATAACTTTGCAGTAAATTATTTCTCTAGCAAGGGAAAAATGTTTTATCATTCTTCTAAAAATTGAAATGTGATATTTATCCACATCGTAGTATTTTCTATGACTGTTTCACATGCTAGAACTACACAGGTAGAGCCACACCTGGTATACCTGGAATGTCATGCTTTATATATATATAAAAATAGTCTGTATCATATATGTATGTATACACACACACACATATTCTATAAATATTTTATCTTCAAAATATATATGTTTAGGAAACAGTGTTTATATACATGTACAATTTTAGTGACTATAATACTAATATAATTAATAATTATAATTGTAGTAGTTCTGAAAGAATTAAAAGACACTTTATTGAGTAATTTAATAATGTAAGTAATATAAATAGTGTGTGTGTGTGTATGAAAATACATTTTTAAACAAAATAGTTTAAAATATTTATGTAGATGGGCTTGAATGCCTTCAGAGCCATGATAACTAAACATGAAAAACTGTAAGTTATCAGTAGTGACTCAAGGCACAGTCAGAAAAGAAGGCCAGTAACATCACTGGAAACCTGGAAACCAGGACCAGTAAAAAATATCTTTTTTGAGTTGTCTGTACTTTAGGGATCTGCTGCTGTCTATGGGAACTATTTTTAAGGTTGTCAAAACCAAGCAATAAACAAAACTCCTTAGACTTTTGATTTTTTAATTTATTTTTTTAAAAATAAAGTATATTTTTTACAGAGGCTGTGGCTTTGATATTATGGCACTGAATCTTCTGGCTCACTACAAGTGTGTCCTTGGACATGAGAATGTAAAACATGGGATTATATATTTTTAATATTTTTTTTTTTTAAAGTGACTTATATAATTTCCCAGTCTGCCTTACTATGTGAATTTTCATATATCTTATTTGTGACTGTTTTTTTTTGTTTTTTTTTTTTTTTATTGCAGGCAATAATGCACCATGAAGGTCACATGGATGATGGTTTAACATTATCCAGATCTCAGAATGAAGAATCCCGTACAGCACGTGTTATCCGTAGTACAGTCTTCCTCTTCAACAGGTTTATAAGGTGTGCTTTTAAAAAGATATTTTCATCCCTTTTTATTTCTTTTCCTCTTTTATTTTATTTAAAGTGACCATTAACACAACAGTGAACAATTTATTGCTCAGAATAGGTAGATGAATTCTTCTCAAACCAGAATTTATGGCAATTCTTTGTGTTATCAGCAGAGATATACCTTGAGAGATATTGGTCAGTTTCTTTTTTCTGTGTTCTAATATTACTTTATTGTTTGACTTGGAGTGCATAAACATTCTGAAAATGCAAACAAACTGTAAAAGAGATATTTCCTTGCCAAAATTTGCTGTAAGTCATGTGGTGCATCATTTATCTCTTTCTTTCTGAGCATAGTTTTTAAAAGTGCTCTTCCTTGAAAAACCTGTAGGATGGAGATAAGTGTATAGCTAAAAACTTGTACAAGATACATGGAACAATTTCATAGTCTCAAGAAATTATTTTTCTTCTTGCCACCCTCCCATTACACTTTATTTGTTCCCTTTCAATGCTACTTGTTTCTTTAATACTTTGCAAAATATAAAATGTTTTATTTTATTGTATTTTAGCCATTTAAAAATACTGCCAGATTTATGCGATTTGCATTTATCTTCCTACTCCAAATGTCCTCCTAAATAACAGTGATAAAATGCCAATTCTCAAATCTGTGTGACTTCAGTAATGGATGAAAGGCCTCTCTCATCAGTGCAGAAAAAGGATGATAGGCAATAAAACTATTTGGAATGATAAGGATTTCGTAGGAACCTATTTGTCACAGTGAGGCAGATAGTAACCTGAAGCAACCATGTCCTAAATCAGTGCACAGGCTAAGACACAGAGGTGTCAGTTTGTTGAAAAGCATTTAGCCAAGTACTTAAATAATGGCAGAGAAAAACACCTGTCAGAAGAATTGGCTACTGTATGATAGTCAAAATACAAAAGAAATGCGCAAGCCATAGGTCACTTTGTAAATAATATATTTTCTTAGAAGCTTCTAAGAATGTCATAAAAGATAAGAACAGAGAAAGGCAATTTAATGATAAGGTTTCACGCATCAAGGTACTGCGAAATTAAAATGGCGAATTTAGCAGAGCACACAGGGAGTCCAAGGTACTATTTAACAATTTAGTGTTGGCAGGATGTTACTCCAAGAAGAAAAAGCTGAATTAGAGATGATCAAAATTATTCTCATAAGTGTGTGCCCCAGTTCTTTCCCATGAAGTCAGCAGAAAAACTACATTTCAGATAATGTGCTCACAATAAAAATTAAGATTTTTTTAAAGATAATTTTTGCAGCTATCTTTTTGAAACATTCAATTATTTATCTAACAGATATTTATTCTTCAGCAGTAAATATTCCCACTGAATTCATAGTGTTTCCTAAATTTAGAAGTTTTCCATCCCTAGTTCACCATTAAAAACCACAAACATGAACAAACAAACTCAGCCAACCAATAACCAACCATCCCACTCTGCCCTCCTGCCCCTGGCATATCCCTCCACTTAGTCTTAATGCAGCAAAGAGCAGAGTGTGAAATGAGTCTTCTGTTTCATATCGTGGCCTGGAGAAGAATTCTGGGAGTGAGCAGAGTGCTATGCCGCTCGGGAGAGAGGACTGGTGGGGTGGGTTGTGGGTCAGGTTGCCTGTGACCATTGTTGCCTTTGATGGAAGAAAAGGAGATGAGTGTGGGGCTGGGATGGTGCCCGTGTGGACATGGTGGGCTCCTCTGCCAGCTGAAGCTCAGTGGTCTTTAGGACAGCAGAAATGGAGCACTGGCGAAAACAAACACTTTACTCAAAAATATCCTGGCAAAAAAAAACCCCTCCTTTTGGCAATGACAGAATTGAGAATGAACCAAAAGAGAAATCATGACTGTACATTAACCTCCTCGTCCCACTCTCCCCTGCTGCATGCCACCAGGATGGGCCCTTCCCTTCAGGCTGCTTCTCTCCCAGCCCTTCAGGACCCTGGCTTGCTCCTGCAGAGGGTTTCAGGATCCTCTGGATCTTCCCCTCCTCCCTAAGGATAGGCACCGTGTTGACAGGACCTCAGCACCCCGGGTTTCTCTGCTCTTCATGGCCCACCCTGCTCCTTCCAGAAAGTTCTGGCAGGCCTCCTGCGGCCTCTGTCCGGGGCAGCCCCACCGTTGCCCTCCTGAGGGGAGCCCTGGCCTTCCACCTGCTGCAGGGTGCTGCCGAGGCCTCCGCTGCAACAGCCGCATTTCGAGAAAGATGAGGTTTAAATGGCGGAGCAGCAGGGGTCTGGAAAGCACAGTGCAGGTGAAAAATTGAATCATGGTGTTTGTTTGGGATTCAGCTAAGCAAGGGGCAGGTGAAACATGGGTGAGAACAGTCTGCCCTCCAGTTCTAGAAGATGATGGTAATAGGCTACAGCAAGGCTATGCTTGAATTGTGTATCAGGCAATCAAAAAGGCTAATGGAGTGCTGGGACAGAGTGTGTGGAAAAGCTGCATCTTCCAGCACTGAGGATGGTGTAAGATGGGATAGAGACATGCTTGAGAGCCTGCATAGACTAGCTGGGCCCTCTTTGGCACCACAGGACTGGTTCCTTGACTTCTGTCTCTTTGCAGCCTTGTGTTGCTTTGAACAGGTTTAAATAGCTTTAAATATCTTTTGGTCTCCTATTAAACCACTAAATGTGTAGGTAGAATATCAAAATGAGTTTTCTGGATTAAAAAAAAATTGGAGAAATTATTTTTTATGCTTCCAGTTAATATGTGGGAAGGGAGGGGTGGATCATTTAGTGGAGAATGGGGCAGACATCAATAATTCTTGGGAAGTTGCATAGCTGTCAGAAAATGAGTTTAATTTTGAGATCTAAACCAACTTTGCTTTTAAACCAATAAAGAGTTTAAACACTGAAATAAATAAATTTCCAATACTCAGGAGACCTTGATATTTTTGTAGGGGCCTTGATGCTCTCAGCAAGAAGGTGAAGTCTTCCACCATCGATTTGCCTATTGAGTCAGTCAGTCTGAGCCTTCAGGACTTGATTGGCTACTTTCACCCCCCTGATGAACATTTGGAGCATGAAGACAAACAAAACAGGCTCCGAGCACTGAAGAATCGACAGAACCTCTTCCAGGAAGAGGTACTTTTCTCGGTTTTACTTCTAATTTTCCACCGTGTTGTATGCAAATATTCTTTGCAAGGTCTGTAGCATTGTTGTGTAATCTGGAGTATGTCTGCATTACATTTTTTTGTCCAGTAACGGTCAAATTATTTGCTACATTTATAATCTCTTTAGATCTGTTGATTTTCCTGTATATTCAAATAAGTACATTTAAGGCCTTACTTCCTTTTCCTTTGTTAGAAAATTAGATGTTAATATGACCTTGTGTCCTGAATTCTAAGCATAATTTATTCCTTATGTGTGAATTAGTTTCTTCTGTTATGGTTTAATCTCTTGATGAAAAAAGATGTTTTGGTTTAATAAGCATCCTTTAAATATTTAGTTTAGTATTGTCTGTTATTTCTTCAGTAGTGATAGTTGCCTTTATTTAGTCAGATGCATAAATACCTTCCAGATTAGAAACTTGCCTAAAATTACGTCTGGAATACTGTTTATTTTCTGTTTTATTTTGATTTAAATGGTAGTTCCTAAATGGTGATTTTTCATTATAATCAAAGAAAACTTTTCCATAGGGATTGCTTGTTTGACTCCACTTGTCTGACTCCATGTATATCTTCCTGTGTTTTGTATGTCCTGCCTTTCAGGTTTGGTTTTCTTAGATTTCCGAAAATCATATGTGTTTACACCTAAAAAGTACCTTTTTTTTTTTTTTTCTCTGACAATCTGAGCCTTTCCATTTTTAGGGCATGATCAACCTTGTTCTTGAATGTATTGATCGCTTGAATGTATACAGCAGTGCAGCTCATTTTGCAGACGTAGCTGGAAAGGAAGCTGGAGAAGCATGGAAATCTATTCTGAATTCTTTGTATGAATTACTAGGTAAGACATATTATGGGCTAAGTGGATTGTTGTAGCTCCAAATAATACTCAGATTAAAAGAAACACATACCTGTTTTAGTAGAGAAGAATTTCCACTGTGTAGAAATGTACAATACAAATTAAACAAGATTTTTTGGATTTCCAGATCCTTTCATGTACTTAAGAATAAAATGCAAAGAAAACACTCAAATAATGTTTTTTTTCTAATAATATTTATTATTATAAATAACATGTTTCTGACTTAAATGAGTGATTGCTTTTTCATATCATCATATTTCTGTTGTATCTTGTATACTGCCCAAAAACGTGTAAACAAAATATATGTGAACATGTCATTCCTTTGTTAAGGAGCCAGAACATTGTGGTTGGTCTTGTAGAAGTCTATGATTTTTTTTCACACATCCAGCTGTAGAACTGCAGCATGAATCTAAAGCTTTTATAACCAAGACCACTCTTATTAGTCAGTATAGGTACAGTGTGCAGTCACTGAAATCTCATAATAGCTTCTGTCAGTATCTAAGTGTTAGTTGGTGTCCTGGTTAAATCTCTGTTTAGGTAGTATCATTTAATTACCTGGTTTGTTTGCTCACCAATTTGAATTGTGTGTGTTATTAATGTTCTACTACGACCCATTATATAGGGTTATTAATCCACTACTATAGCTGCCTTCATATGGACTCCTGATGAGTTATTAATTGTCTAAAAAAGGAAATTTTACAGCCTAAGAGACCATTTTGTCAGTTCCTTGCTCCTCTATCATCAGGTTTTCTCAGTGCTATAAGTAAGGCTAAATAATAATATTGACCTTAAGTGACTGATAATAACCTTGGCCTTAAGTGACTGAGGACAGTAATGTGTCCGTTTCATTAAGCAGCCCTTTGCACAGGCTGCATACCTGTGCCTGTGCTGCTTGCTTTCTTCCTCTAATATACCAGGTCTAATGCAAGGGCCTGCTTGGCTTTAAACTTCCACATGTTTTGGCAAAAGTTTGAGTTTGGACAAAGACCTCATGCAGGATTGTTATCTTATTTTCCAGTAAAACATAAAACATTTTATGTATCATCTACGCTAAATGTCATGCCTGAAAAATTTAGTATTGCAAAGGTATACAATTAGTTTTGTTGTACCTCAATTCAATTAAAAACTTCACAACTGAGTATTGAATTTGTAAAATGAAGTGAGTCAAGAGTTTAGGAAGTGCCTAGATGAATGTAGCGTGTATTTTATTAATTGGCTCTTTTGTGGGTATACATTGTGAAATACAACCACATACTAGTTTTTCTACAGGACTTATTCCTTATTTAGTGCTCATTTATTCTTGGTACTTTAAAATACTTAGTTTTCTCTTTGGCACTCCGTGTGTGGCATTGAACCTTATTTATTTACAATGAATATGCGCAATGATTATGAACTGAGTTTTTACAAACAGAAGGTATTATCTGCCATTCACTCAGAGGAACAGGTACAGAGAGATAAAAAGACTCTACTAATTCTAGTTCCCAAATTAAGAACTGTGGGATCTGACCTTTTCCCATAATATTCAGCAGTATTTAATGTCTGTAAGGCATACTGAAACTTGCATTCCTCCAAATTCAGAGGCAGAGATATGAAATCTTGATGGCACATGTCACTTTACATAAACTCTCCTTGCTATCCCCTAGCAAAGTGAGGCAACTGAGGCAAGAGTTCTGTATATGGTACTGTTACAAAGCTTCTCCGTAGTTAAAGTAAGTTCATCATCTTATGCTCTGGAAGAGGAGAGAAAATCTTGGGAGGAAAAAAGGATATCCAGCATATGGTGCACAGCCCTTGATAAAACCCATGAGAAGCTTCTGTCTGGCCCGCTACCAGAAGCTGACAGAGTAAATATTGAGATAAGCAGAAGCCCTCCCCCCTGATCTCTCAAAGCAAAGAAAGAGCTAGCGACTAGTGGCTGCTGTCACCTAATCACAGCCTGTTATGGTAGGAGGTGGTTCCTGTGGCTATTATTCTGGTTGAGGAGTTGCTGAGATCTACCACTTCACAGACATAGGGGATAGTTGAAGTTTAACAGTTCAGTTTGTCATATCTCTTTTTATGTTATGCACAGCTCAGACTGGAGGAAGCAGGGGCTTGATTGCTGAATCATTTCTCCACGTCTGAAATTTCTAGTTGACAAGGCCGGAAAATTCCTTCTGAAAGAGTCTACTTGACTTGTATTGTTTCCATGGACTTGTAGCGAGGATATCAGTGCAAAAGTGTTTGTTGAATTTGCAGTGTCCATCCCCCTCCTGCCCCCTTATGTTACTTGCCCAACTGCATTATCTTCTGCCAGCTAATGCTTAGGAAGCCTGGCTTTGATCTGGCTATCATGAATTTCTATGTTGCTCTGTTCTGAATAGTGCTGGAGCTGTACAGTAATTGCATGGATGACAAATAGATACAGTTTGCTCAGTCTTGCTTTAGCAAACAGTACTTTATGAGTCTACACTTTTTAAAGTAAACTGTGATGCCAGAATTCATGGTTATTGTCATGTCACTGACACTGTGATATATTTCCCTGTGATGAGAATTGGGTCATTTACAGACTTTGGGACTGGATACTATTGCATATAAAAATCAAAGATTCATAGAATGGTTTGGATTGCAAGGAATCTTCGAAGGTCATCTAGTCCAAACACCCTCATCACAGAAAAATCCTTCCTTATATTCAGTCTCAATCTAACCTCTTTCAGTTTAAAATTATTGCCATATATCAACTGAGGCATTTGTCCTTCCTCTATAACAAATACATAAAATCACTTTGAACTTGTATTTGATCCTTTTGTATCACCAAAAAATGCACAGGAGTATATGTAGTGATGTGACTTTAAATGTCTGACTGATGACAACCTGGTTCTTCTTTCTTTAAAACTGGATACTAGGCTTGTTCAGAGTAGTGGGCAATGAAAGAAGCAACTGCTGGATATTATTTTTAACATTAAGTAGCTGTGTGCCTCATTTTAATGCACAGCTTTAATCACTGAATTCTAACCTTTCACAAACTTCTGCTGAGCTGCATTTATGAAACCATCTGTGACCTATTACTGTTAATGAAGTTAAATTTATTGATACTGCGTTAAGCTGTGAACTGTTACTGTCTTCATTTTATGGTCATATCTGAAGCACAGTCAGGTTATGTGGCTTGTCTATAAACAATAAAAAAACAGGTCACAGAAACAGGTGTTCCTTACTTCTAATCTGTGTCTTTTAATAAGATGCTCCTCCTCTTATGATTCCTGGTTTTTTTTCACATAACTATGGTCATGATTAATTAACTATGTAGGATTTCAGGGTATAGATTTATTTTTTTTTATCCTATACTACAGCAAGCAAAAGGTTTTTAAGTTTGTTTTGCTTCTTTGGGGTTGGGGTTTGTTTTTGTTTGTTTCTTTTTAGGCGCTGGGGCTTTTTTTTTTGCTATGAAACACTTGGATTGCAATCTCTTTTCTTGCAATACAGAACTGCCAGAGCAGTGACTTGTTTGCAACTAACTCCAAGATTACTTTTCCCCTTTGCAGAGACAATTTCTTCTCATATTTATGCCAGAATTCTGTAATTTAACCCTTTATAAATGAAGCAACATAAAACCACAATTGCAATATAATATAGTGAATTTCTGCAGCAATATAACATAGTTTTTAAGAGGTCCTTGCCTCTTAGCTGGACCAACAGTCTCTGCTGCTGAAATAACCATAGAAACTTCAGGTGGAAATATCTTGTTGGCAGAATTGGAAAACAATCTTAAGACAAGCAGTTTTCAATGTTCTACACACCAAACAGAAATGCACCCCACTCTTTTTTTGGAGTAGAATGGATGGTTCTCTGAGAGCTCGTGTATGCACGTACATGCAAGCACACGTGTTCCAGGACAGGGCAGGCTTGTGCCTACACTGTTCACTGAGATTCCTAGTCAGTAATACACTAAGTCACTTCATGCATTCAGTCTCCTTCAATCTTTAGATCGAAGTGTGAGGCTGAAACAGTTTAAAGTTACTTCCTCTCTACAGCCATGTCAAAAGTATGACAAACAGTCCCTGGACATCCATCTTGGTTTAGTTCCTATTATTCTTGACCAAAGACATTGTATGAATAGGAAATAATTTTACATTCATCACCGAAGTTATTGCTTTCACATTCTGCTCTTCCAATGTTTCCTGTCATTACAAAAATATTGTGTTATAGAAATTTGACTTCTGTGGTGTCAGAAATGGCTATGTCATTTAGAGCATTTTACAAGGGTTATTGAGATGATTGGGAAACCAAAACAACTCAAACACTTTAAAGATCAATTTGATGCCAAGGGTATTTCTTATGCTTCAATCTGACTATCACTCATGTTATTTAAATTTAAAACAAGAACATAAATAATTAAAGATTAAGAATCTATCTTAGTGGATCATTCCTGGTGGGAGAAGACACTGATTCTTTTAATATAAATGAACTTAAAATTGTGACTTTTTTTCTTTCTTTCTTTCTCTCTCTTTCTTTCTTCTTCCAATAGCGGCTCTCATTCGAGGGAATCGTAAAAACTGTGCTCAGTTTTCTGGATCTCTTGATTGGTTGATCAGCAGATTAGAAAGACTGGAAGCCTCTTCTGGTATGTTTTTTAGTATTTAGCTGCCATATTTGACCAGTTTTTCATTCTTTAAAAATGGTGATATACTTGTTCACTCTTATTATCATGAAATTTTTCCTATAGCACAGTAAATTATATTAATAAAGTGGTATTTATATCTTCAATGTTATTGATTTAAGTTCTATTTCTACCTTAAGTTCTAGCAGTCTTTCATTTTCCTTGAACAGTTGGTTTGAATGCTATCTTTTAATTCAAGCAAACAAAGCCATTTGGTGAAACAGTTGTATTGAACTGTAGCTTCAGCTGTATTAAATTACTTTCTCTCCAATTCTAGTACCTTTCCTTCCCTTGTCTTTGGAAGTCTGCATGTTTTCCAGAATTTTCATCAAAATAGATATAATTATAACCAAATGGAATAGATACGATTTGTCTCTTCCTGAAGGATTGTAGTTGCAATGTGGGGAAGTTCACGTATTCTATTTCAGTATGTGTAACAGATGGGTCTTCAGAAAGTATCTGTATATGTTTGCATGTAACAGTTTTACCTGCCTCTCTATCACTCATACATTCACTTTTTAATCACCTCTTACTCCTGAGGCTTGAACTTCTGTTTGAAGTTAACTAATGTTAATGCCTGAAATGAGTTAATGCCTGAATGAAGTTAATGCCTGTTACAGGTTTATGATTTGAAAATCTATGAATTCTGTCTCACTTTAGTCTCAAATTCTTTAATCTGGCTTATTTATTTTCTTTGTAATTGCCTAATGCCTTATTTTCCTCCTGAACCACTCTTAACCCTTTAATGTCCATGAGAGACAATTTTTCTCTGTGTTGCTCAAAGTGAAAGTAAATGAAATTACACTGAGCAGCTGTACTGTACTTCTCACTGAAATGATGATCCTGGATTCTGTTTCCTTGGAAGCAATCTGTTCTCCACAAACCTACACCGCCAACCAAGTATATTGTATTTTAAAGTTTCCAATGGTTTAAAAAAAAAAAAAATCCGGCAACTAAACTTGATAAAAAAAATTCTCTTTTGACTTTATTGGAAATATACACTTTCTGAGCAAAATAAAAAAAAAAGTAGTCTGCACATTAGCTGAATGTAAATACTATCTTAAGATTTTCTCTTAGTCAGATATAATTCCTACTGCCATTGAGAGTTTGCTACTGTGGACCTCTTTACTGTCTTAAATGTAGTTATTAACACAATTGTAGCTGATAATAGCACCTTAAAGGTAGTTATCAGAATTATCACATCTGGCATGTGCTTGTTTTAAAAAACGGTTTTCAATACTTATTAAGGTAATCATTTTGCATTTTTTTTCTTTTTTTTTTTTTTTTCTTTTTTTTTAAATAATATTACTCTATTTTCTTTAGAAGTAGTTTTGAAACATGCCACTTTGGTTTGATTTTGTAAACAGATGGTAGACAAATCTCAGTGTGTTAAAGAACCTCTGCTAAGTGTTTCTCAGTTTACTGAAGGGATCCTAGGACTAAGTTTCTGCAATTGACAATGTTGATTTAGTGGGTGATACTTGAGTCTCTTCCCTCATTTTACTGATATAAATACAAACTTTTTCATTTTTCCTACATGGAAATTTAATTAATGTTCTTTTCACCATGTCAGTATTCCAGAATGATGTCATCTGGGTATCTGAACAGTACACAGGAATCCAAAAACTTGGATCTAGCAGCTAAGAAATAATTAATGATTACTTGATCAGAGTGATCAGTTCTGGACTCTTATGACTGATTTTTTACTCTTTTCAAGCATGCTTTTTGTGATGGTGATGACATAAAGATCAAAAAACAAAGTAATATTGTTGGTAAGAAATGTCACTGCAGTCTGATCCCCCCCCTTCTTGTTTTTCAAGACTAGTAAAAGTATTTGCTGGAATAAAAAACACCCATGTGTAGTGTATGGCTAAAGTTCTAAATTTTCTTCTTACTCAATAATACTTCCTGGAGTTCAAAAGATTACAGCAGTAACTGAAAACATGGATCTAAAGTGGTGAGATCTTTTAATATCTGATTTGCCAATTAAGTGAATCAAAGGACATGAGAATAAAGAAATTATGAAAAAGGTGAAATAAGAAAAATGTCAATAGGTCCTTACAAAAAGTTTTATTTTTCATATGCATTAGACTGAAAGGTTAAAGAACAAGCAGGAGGTTGAAGTCTAAAATTAAGCTTTTATGCCTGATAAGGAGTTTGCCTTGCAAATTATTCCTCCCTGTAACTAAAGGTAAAGAGAAAAATACTGAAATATAAATAATGTAAATTGGAGAAATTTTATATGTAATGAAATAATAGCAAAGTAAAAGCAATTTTGACTTGAGACATTTAAACTTTTTATATAGGTCATTGACATAATTGAGAAGCATGTAAGTTTTTGCCATTATGTAAATATTATGTTGCATTACTAAGAGAAACCAATAGATATTTGTAAGAAATATATTTAGAATATAGCTGCTAGTATAGAAGTTGAAAAAATTCTGTGTTTTAAGTGAATAATGATAATCCTATGGAGAGAAGAATTGTAAGCAACCAAGAAGCTGAAGAAGCTAAGGACAATTTTGCAATGCTTGCGCTACCACGGGCAACCCCAATTGCAATAGTTTAATTTTAATGTTAATGTACTTCTACTTTATATTTTTCCCTTGTAATTTGACTATAAAAACATTGCACTAGAAATATTTATGATGTCCTGTAGAACTTATATTAATCTTCAGTGCTTAGAACTGTAGTCCAACTAAGTGAGTAGAAGTCTTAAATGTAACAATAGTTTTACTGTAATACCAGATAAAGACTTGTCTTAGCTGGTCTCTTTCTTATTGCCTGGTTCATGTGTATCTTTTCACAGTAAGTGCAGGTATCAAGGTGGATTTCAGGAGCTAGGTATTAACTGCACATGGAAGGTATTTTAAATCCACTGTAGGAAGAACAACAAATTTTACAAATATTCAATGTGTAGCTTTTGCTGTATTTTAAAATTTTATTGTCTGGCTTTTTTCATCTCCATGTAGTTCGTCTGTGCTTTGCTTTGTCATTGCTATTAATACGTATAATCTTTCCTCCTTCTCTTCTGTTTTCTGTTCTCACCTATCTGGAACTGTTTCAGTTACAGACTAAGAAATGATTTCTAGTTGCAGTTGTGACTGTTTTGCGTTATATATAATGTTTGTTATTATTTTGTTGGAAGATGGCCTATTGAGTCTTTCAAGCCTTATTTTCTGTAATTATGCTACACTAAGATCAATAGGCAAGAAGGTTTGTAACCAGAGCAGTGGGGAGAGTAGTCACAACAACAGGGAGAACAATGTAAACAAAACTTTTTTGGTTGTGTGTTTGTTATTAAAGGTGTTATTGTCATAGTAAAAATAAAGTTTGAAAAAGAAAACCTAAATATTTAGGTTGAGGCTATTATAGTAAGGTATAAGATGAATTCTGTAAACTGCAAAGTGGTCTGACCTTGCACAGTCAGTCATACTGCATAATGAACCACATGATGTGCTGCAAAAATTCTGAAGGTCCTAATATTTGCAGTGCTCATTTGTTCTGAGTTTTCTTTTAGGAATTTGGGTACTTGAACTCCTTCCCCATATGTTCTGGTAATGTGACTTCCACGTTGTCTCCAAAACTCATTTTATAATGAAGACTCTGGTTTTGAGGGAGTCAGTTATACAAGATTATATAATTATGCTGTGCTTTAGTTATCTCAAGAGGCACAGGAGGTTTAGCTTTTAGTATGTAAATGTGCTTTTGTGATTTTTATGTGGGATGCTTGCTTGCCAGATTTTAAGATTTATGCTGCTTGATGGGGGCGAGGGTATTCACTGTTTAAATTTACAGTGGTAGGTCTAGAACAGCTAGAAATACTGGGTTCTATTGCACCTTTGAAATAAGAATACCTAGCTGCATATAGTAACGTAAAATAGATAATTCACTTTGTAAGGTTGAGTTTGTGAGGAGGAAAGGCCACGCTATGCTTATCACACCAAAATTAACTTCACCTTAAGCTGTCAGTTACACTTCCTGCAGGTGTTTTCTTGAAAGTGTTGTGATAAAGATTTGAAGTTATAAACTATTACAAATAAAATTATTATTTTCACTTTTTACTTATCCTGGAATTAAAAATGTTAAGAAAACAGAATAAAAGTATTAAAGGTATGAACAGCAGTTGTGAGTTGAATGTACAAAAACGATTAGAATTTGATTCAGCTCCTGATCTTTACTGAAGCAAAAGAAAGAAAATGAAGATTAGTCCAAGTATAAATGTGTATGACAGTATAACATGTTAGAAGGGAGATACCACAGGAGATGACTGAATTATGTGATGCAAATGCTTCAGATGTCTCTTCAATGCATAAATTAAGATTAGATTACTCTTTTACTCTGAAATTTAGTGGAACTAGTTAATCCCATCTGGACTATAATTATAAAGGCATTAAAACCTAGGTAATAAAAACCAGAATAGGGCAAGTTAGTAATTTAATAAGCTCTAAGTGAAGATTTTTGGAACCAGATAATATCAGGCTTTGAGTATTTTTTTTTTAAGGACATGCATTTTATTCTAGTATTCTACAGAACAACGTTAAAGGAGTCAACATTTTGTCTTAAAAATATATGCTTCCTTTCACCTGTTAATCATTAAGACAGAATTTTCACTCATCTTTAGCATAAACTCTTTGCAATATTTGTATTAAATTTGAGCACTCCCTGCTTTACTGACTTGAGCAACTCCAATGAAATTGGAACAGGTCCAGTTGTCTTTAATGTAGACAATCTAAAAGTGAGTCAGTCCAAATAGACATTGCACCTTAAATATGTGATTTTTTCTTATTTTCTGAAATGGGATTAGCCCTTAGAACAAAATGTATTTGATAATTAGCATTAAGATGCTGCAGTAACTGAAGAAGTTGCTGAGGCAGCTGAGTCTAAGTGAAAACTTTCAGTCATTATTGAATGTTTACATCTTCAAAGGATTTTTATTTCTGTTATTGAAAAGGTTAAGAGTAGAGAATGAACCTTGTATGCTATATTAGGACAAATTATGAATCTACCTACATGTATCTGGAAATTCCAAGGTTTTGGTTGCAATACTTAATTTTTGTGGTATCATTTCATATTGGAATATTGTTTATATTGTTAAGTGTGTTTCAGTGCTACAATGAGAAGTGGCAAACTAAATTACCAGGTTTTTAATGTAGTGATTTCCCTGCATTCCCATATCACTGTGGCACACAAGGTTGTTGATATTGTTGAAGATTACCCCTCTAGTCTGAGGTTCCTTTTGTAACACTTTTCTTACCTCCCTAGGTACATTTACCATGTTCAAGTGACTCCTGTCTGTCTAGTTGGCAGGCTGGGTGGATTGTGCTCCTGCTGTCTTGCTAAAGGTCATCTACTCTTTGGGTTGCTCTCATTACTCTTAGGTTTTTATCCTTTTCATCAATACGGTTACTTTCAATATTGGAAGTGTGTATCTATTGCAGCCCAGGTTTAGTATGTTCTCTCATTTGTAGTTGAGACTTCCTGCTTGTACCTTCGGGGCTGCAAAAAGGACCAAGGGGAGTTTAGAGTGCTACTTTTTAATTTTTATACAAAGAGAGCATGGCAAAGAGCCAAAGACTCATGGTATAACGCCTTCTTTGCAACTGTTAAGCTGAGTTTGGAGCCATGGCTTGAATATAGGGATGAAGGCAGAAGGATGAGATGCACAGTACAAACAGGAATTGTGTATCTCTAGGTTTAGGAGTGCTTCTGAGCTTTCCCTCAGTGTGCCAACTGTAGCAACTGATAATGATGAACCACATGTGTAATATTTATCCTTGCCAAAGATCCCAAAGCAAGTGGTGATGTGATCCAGTACACATATGAGCCTGTTTTACTGCCCCATTGCAGGGAACCATTACCATTTTAAGGCTAATGATTCTTGATGGCAATGACTGCTGCTTTATTGGGATTGCAATTGCATTTAATTGAGTGTTCCACTGGAGATTTCGTGGTTCTTACTTCCTTGCACATCTTAGTTTCATGGTAGTTTCTATTTGTTTGCTCTTTTGAGAACATCACTGTGGTTCCCAATGTAGCTGTTATGTACACGAAGAAAATGATACGCAGAGGGCCAGTAGACTGGGAATTGAGCTCTGCTTTATCATTCAGAGGCATATGATTCCATTAGTGGTTCATATGGTTTTCTAAGGGAAGAAGCAGAAAATTTTAAATAAGAAGAGTTATTTCATATATATAATATGTATGTATTGTGAATCCTTCATGTCTTCACTGAAAGCAAATATTTTACGCAGTTTGTTTGAATTTGTGAGTGTTGATCATCACATTTATTACAGAAATTCCGAATTAATCTACATTTTTTTTCCCTGTGCTTTCTGATTTTTATTACATTCACATATTGTGGTAAATATAGAAGTACATCAATGCTGTTTGGGATTTCTTTATCATGTACAATGACTTTTGAAACTATTCCATGTTGCTGATCAATGTATTAGGAAAATTTATGTGCAGTTAAGATTTGACATACACTATGAATAAATGTTTGTTTGTTTGTTTTTCCCCTCAGGAATCCTGGAGGTTTTACACTGTGTGTTGGTGGAAAGTCCAGAAGCTCTAAACATTATTAAGGAAGGACATATTAAGTCAATCATCTGTCTTTTGGACAAACATGGAAGAAACCATAAGGTAGGCAAAGAAGAGACAAGTATATGTAGGTGAACGTTTGTGAACAAAGCAAGCATGTTGCTCTGTGTAGAAATTAAATTTTCAAATACTGAAATACTGTATTCATAATCAGGAATGAAACTTTCCTGAAAAGGTATATGAGCAGTTTGAAGAAGCAAAGGGGAATGTTAGCTTCTTTTTGATGAAGACATTGCTGCACACTAATTTTCAAGGGAAGCAGGAAAAATATATCTTAATATTGTTAGGAGAATTTCAGAATTGTTATAAAATAATGATACTAAACTGGATGAATTGAATGCTTTTATATGTCTTCCAGTAACAAGGTATTATATTGCCTGAAGTAACTCATGGTGTTTAGGAGAAAGTATTTAAATGAATCTACTCTTTTTTATTTATTTATTTATTTATTTATTTAGGTTTTGGATGTTCTATGTTCTCTCTGTGTTTGTCATGGAGTAGCTGTGCGGTCTAATCAACATCTAATCTGTGATAATCTCCTGCCAGGAAGAGACCTGCTCTTACAGACACGACTCGTCAACCATGTGAGCAGGTAAAAAGAGAAAATCTAGATCTATTAACAAAGCAGAAAAAAAATTGTGGCTAAAAGAGAGAGTCACTACAGAAAATCTGAACTGCAAAACTTCTGTTAAGATGTTTTATTCTTATTAGGAATTTAAATACTCTTGCAATATTGATTAAAATCAAATTATGGGACAGAGAGAGCTGTCACAAGCTAAAGCAGCTTTAAACTCCTTTAAGTCTGTGAAGCTGTAGTATTTTCTAAAGACTCTTGTCTAGGTCTAGCTGTGCTTTCAAAATATTATCAGTCAGTGTCCTGCATTTGCCTTTATGTTTTGGATCTTGTGATGACACCTTTGGTCAAAATCAAGAATTTAGTGCCAAACACCTTCACCAGCGCCTGGGATATTTAGGGAGTGCCCTCGCCCTTCCTTCCACTGACAGAATTGTAGAAGCTACCTTCCAGCACACATTAATAGCAAGATGAAGCTAGTACCATCCTAAACGAGCAACATAATATTTACAAAGTAAATGCTTATCTAGACTTTGAATTCATGCTGAGTCAGAAGAATCTGGCTTTAAGTGAAGACTTGTGGGATCTCCTGTCTCAGGCTTATGTCTGCTTGAAAAAGTCTCAAGCATTAAGCGAGAATAAAGTTGAAACATAGAAATAGTACATAAAATTTAGAGTTCCCAGGTTTTACTAGATGCTGAAAAACAAAAAAATCACAACTGTATAAGGAGGCCTTTTCAAGCCTAAAGGTGCAATGAACTTGGTGATTTTATAGTTAATACATTCAGTCATATTTTTCAAAACTGTGTGGCTTGACTTCCCCTAACACACCCAGTAACACACCAACACACCTAACAGGTGGAAAGATAGTGTAATGGGAATCATTCCATGTCAGCAATAGATTAGAACAACTGTTTGAGCTAAAATCACTAATGAAAACTTCTGTTTAAAATGCATGAAAATAAATTTTAAATGTATGGGTACTGTTCCAATTACTGAAACAAATGCTTTTTTACTTTAAGTGTATAAAGCATTTTTCTCCAGAGTGGATAAATATGACCAGAATAGATAAATAAATATGCTGCCTTCTATGAGCTAAGGTCTGAGTTGTTGCCACGAGGCAACATATACCAGACCAAGCAGAGCAGGGTCAAAAACTCCTTAGCTGCCTCCCGAGATGAGATCCAGAAGACCAATCACTTCAAGTGTATGCATAACAATGTGTGCAGTCTTGGGAACAAACAAGAGGAACTAGAGCTATATGCCCAGTCAGAAAGCTATGGTATCATAGGAATAACTGAAACATGGTGGGATAACTCACATGAATGGAGGATCGTGATGGATGTCTGTGGGCTGTTTTGTAAAGACAGGCATTGAAGAAGAGGAGAAGCTGTCATGCTATATGTTAAGGAGAACGTTGGATATACAGTCAGCTGTGGTGATTGTGGAAGCCCTATCAAATGCCTCTGGGTCAGGATTGGAAGGGTCATCTCCAAGGGGGATCTTAGAGTAGGCATCTGCTACCAACCTCCAAACCAAGATAAGGCAAAGGAAGCAATATTCAGGTTACTTAAGCAAGCTTTGGGACAGCAGAACCTGTTTTTCATGGGTGACTTCAACCACCCAGGCATTAGTTGGAGAACGCTACATTAGGTCACAAGCCATCCATCAAGTTTCTGGAATGCATACAGGACTATTTCCTCATGCAAATGTTAGATATGTCAACTAGGAATGAAGCACTGATGGACTTACTACTCACAAACCTAGAAAACCTGCTGTGTAGTATTTTGGTTAGTATAGCTAACTATCACTATTACAGGAGCTTGATCCTTGACATTATCCACCTGATATCCATTCAGTACTGTTTTCCACATGCTCCTCCTAGAGAAGCTGGTGTGTTGCAGTCTAGACTGTGTGGTGAATGGGAAACTGGCTGACAGCCTGCACCCAGAGAGTGGTGGTAAATGGCTCCTTTTCAGACTGGCAACCTGTCAAGTGGGGTCCTCCAGGGATTGATATTCGTCCCAATGCTCTTGAATATCTTCATAAATGGTCTGTATGATGGGATCAAGTGTACCCTGATTAAGTTTGCTGATGTTACTAAACTGAGTGAAGTGTATTCTTTGTAAGGGAGAGCCACCTTGCAGGAACACCTGGATAGGCTTGAAGAATGGGCTAACATGAACCTTACGAAGCTCAACAAGGGCAAGTGTAAAGTCTTGCACCTGGGAAAACATAACCCAGGAGTGCAGCAGAGATTAGGATCTACCCAGCTGGGGAGCAGCTCTGTGGAAAGGGACCTGAGGGTCCTGGTGAACAAGAAGCTCACTATGAACAAATGGTGTGCTGCAGCAGCAAAGAAAGCCAACAGGATGCTGGGTTCCATCAACAAGGGTATCACCATCAGAGATAAAGAAATCATTAACCCATTCACCTCAGAGCTTGTCAGGCCACACTTGGAATACTATGTTCAGTTGTGGTCCCCATTATGCAAAAAAGGATGTGGACAGGATGTAAGGGGTCCAGAGGAGGGACATAAAGTTGGTCAAAGGACTGGGAAGCTGCTATATGAGGAAAGGCTGAGATAACTGATTTGTTCAGCCTTGAGGAAAGAAAGCTTAGGGCAGACATTATCACAGTGTTTTGGTAAAGGATGGCTACAAAGAAAATGGGGTTCCGTTTTTACAAGCAGTCAAATGGAAAGATAAAGGGTAATGGGGACAAGTCAATGCTGGGGACATTTCAATTGGACAGAAAAGGAAAATTTTGCACAATGAGAACAATTTGCTTTTGGAATAACCTCCCCAGGGAGGTGGTGGATTCCCCAACAATGGACACTTTTAAGATTGGGCTGGACAGTGTGCTGGGCCATTTTGTCTAGACCATACTTTTACCAAGAAAGGCTGGACCAGGTGAGCTTTGAGGGCCCTTCCAACCTGGTATTCTATGATTCTATGAAATGAAATTACTTCTGTTTTTTTAATCAGACAAAAAAACGCATGAACCTTGAGCTTAATGAAAAATCTGAAGCAGTTCTTCATGTTCTTGAGATAGGTTTTTAATAACCACTTTTATTCTTTGTGTTTAAGCATGCGACCCAACATCTTCTTGGGAATTAGTGAAGGCTCTGCCCAATACAGAAAATGGTACTATGAACTTATGGTGGACTATCTAGAGCCCTTTGTGACTGCAGAATCAACTCATCTACGAGTGGGCTGGGCTTCAACAGAGGGCTACTCACCTTATCCAGGGGGAGGAGCAGAATGGGGAGGAAATGGTGTTGGTGATGACTTGTATTCCTATGGCTTCGATGGTCTGCATCTGTGGTCAGGTATTCTCTTGGTTTGCTTTTTTTTTTTTTTTTTTTTCGTTACCTGCTTGATTTTTTGTTTGGTTTTGATGGATTTTGTTTTTATATACTAGAACATTGCAATTACAGTGAATTCGTTTTCAAGAGCAGCAAATTGAGTCAGATGTTTCACTTGACAATAGGAACATACAAGAACAGTACATTATAGCAGAATATGTTTTTTAGTTGACACATTGCATGTTGAAAAAAATGGTTTATACAAAGTAATACAGATAAAGTAAGGATTTGTGTTTCATCCTTGGATTTTTTTTTTTTATAGTAACCATAAAGATTTTATTTAAAACTTACAAAAGTAAAAAAATGAAGTTTGACAAACAGTCATCTAGATTTGTAAATCCTGTATGATAGTGTAAGAACAGCCTGAGAGATTTAATTCAAAGGCCCCCTTTTTTTTTTGTATTTTTAGGTTTTTTAAACAGATTTTAAAAATGCATCTTTAGAAGTTTAGAAATACTTTAGAGGTGAAGAAGATTTTTAAGTATACTTTTTTACATACATTTTGAATCCAGATATTCTTCTGTGATGATGTTTTATTTACATACATTAAGAATGCTTTTTTGTTGCAAGACTTACAGAATCATATTCCTAGCTTGCATATGGTGTGTTTGGGCAGGTAGTCATCTATAAAATGTTATTGGCCCAGCTTGGATCTATTTGTTAATAGTAATTTATATATGCAAATTCTAGTGCTAAAGAAAGCTGAACTGAGTATCTAAACTGTTTGTATTTGCTGTTGATTCTGCAAGTATCTTACTCTCTCTTCAAGGTGGGTTAGCTCAGCAAATTCAGAATAATAAGAAACAAAGCTTGTTCCATTTTTCTTAATCTTTTCCACGTAGTTTGTCTTTTGTGAAAAGTTTACCAGGTATCATTTAGAATGGGTAGTCCTATACTTGGAGAGTCCTAAACTTCTTGAAAGAAATTTCTACTAAGGTTTCACATTGTTGAGGAAAAAGTTTTTTCCTTTGATTTTGAGGGACTATTGACTAGAGGTGAACTGTACAATGGACTGGAAACTGAGTTAAACTTGTTGCATTGGCAGTTCTTGCCACTGTGAATCTATGAGCAAGTTTTTTTAAAGCTCCTTAGCAGATGAGAGACATTTTAGTGAGTCAGCAGTATGTTTCATTCAAGGCCCTTGAATTTTTGAGGCATTGTGGTTTGGTACTTGGAAGAGAATACAGCTTTACATTTCAGAAGAGCTTTGCAATCAAAATAGCAATGGATTGTATTAAGTAATAACATATTGACTAGAGTGACATCTTAGGAAAGTAGCTGCCACTTTGCCTCTCATTTATAGTGAGAATTACTTTGGATCAATAGTGCATAATTAATGGTGTCATTAAAGCTGTGTCATAACTGAGTTTGTCAAATAAAGTATTATTACAGAAGAACCAGAAAATAATGAGCCAACCAAAATAACTGTTGTAGTTAGGGCCCCTTTTAGGGAGGAAACAAAAGATTATTGAAAATCAACGTTATTTTTCTACACCTCCAGAAACTTTTTAATTGGAATCATCACAAAAGAATAGACGAACAATTGTTTGTGGTTCTCAAGTGAATAATCCAGCTCAGTCAAAAAAGTCAGACCACCTTTGTGTGTGCCAATTTTGTATGTTAATTGCTGTTGTGGATGTGGCTGCTGGATTTGAAAATACTAAAGTCTTCATTGACATTACAGCCTAAGGCCAGAAAAGGCACTTAGATCATTTGGTCTGACTATGTTCACCAAAGACCAATGTTTCTGTTAACCATCAGCCTTGGACTGATCCAAATAAACTATATTTGGTTAAATTTTAACATCTAAAGAGGCATCTAGTCTCAAGTAGTAGGCCTTAAGGAGATGAAGTATCCATTCATCATTGATCATTCTTTTACAGTTTAGTTATATCTGCCATTGAGTAATTGTCTCTGTCTCTGATTTATTTGAAACTAACTCTCAGCTGTTGTGATACTTTTCTCTGCTGTTCTCTGCTGTGCTTTTTGATTCTGGGGAGGGTCGTTTCCTTGCAAGCCATTCCATACGCTGTGATTGCTGCTCTGCTATTCTGCTTCTCAGCAGTGTTTCCCATAGATTTCTTGCTCGGTCAGGGGCCTTTAGGACTGCTCCACATCATTCATTTGCTCCTGGAACTGACTATGCTTACAGCAACCGAACTAGGGATATCCTGACTTGGAAGCGTGTAAGGAAAGCAGCAGGAGCATCTGAATGCACTTTTTTTTTTTCTTCTTCCCAACTACACTGCTGACAGCCCAATCGAGAGAGACAGAGTGCCCAGAGTGTCTGTCCTACAGTCTGCAGATTATCTGGCAGTATCAGGAAGTCATAGTCCATGGGTACAGTGTTGGAAGTGCTGGTTTTTGTTTTTCCTTGGGGAGGTAGTAGGGGTGTGTGTATGAAAATTTATCTGCAGAAAAATTAGTGAGGTTTTTCTTTTATTATTTTTGTTATAAGAAGCCATATACCACCTTTATCATCTTCATGGAAATATAGTGCTTTTAGTTAAGTCCTTCATTTTTACGGCATTTGGACAGCAGAGTTAAAAAGTTAGTGCTCTGTTCTCAATATAAATTATGGTTTATCTCTTGCAGACATTACATATGTTATTTTTTTGAAAACAAGTCTAGAGAGATCTTCATACAACTTTGATGCTTTTCCATGAATTTTCTGTTGTAGATGGCAGTAAACTTCAGAAGCAGTCATTTTCTGTTTCTGTACCCTGTAGGTTATTTCTCTTGGGAAGCAGATGTACTTGTGTAAATGTAATTTGATGAAGTGAAGAATGATCCTTTAGAATTCATACAAAATGTATTGAATAAAAATACATATATTACTGAATAAATGAAGTATATATGAAATTGCTTCTGTCTTTGTATATGCCAGAAAAATGCTAGTTTACAGTTTGATTGTGAAACTGGGTAGTATTGTTTTACTGAAATTTGTGAGGGCACCATGATGTGGCCCTAACTACCAGGAAGTGCTGTACTTTTCCTGTATAATTTAAAGTATGATGCTTGTCCTTATCTTGAATAATGAAGCATTCTTTAATACAGTGCACTACACTTCATATTAGATAATAATGGTCATTTTTTGATCTGCACTTCTACTACTGTCAGGAACAAAGTTTTGTTTTCTTGTTTTTTGACTCTTCATGTGGGAATCAGTAATTTTTTTTACTTACATTAAATGTAATTTAACTGTATTATTTGTGATTAAAATAGCTTTGTAGATAAGACTGTACGCTTCTGCTTGCTACGTTGCGAGCTTTAAATCAGGTCATGGATGTTATAGGTTAGATAATTGTGTGTTAATATGTTTGTGCTCCACTGCTAGGCTTTTTGACTCTTTTTCTAGGTTCTTGTGAAAACCTGTATAACTTTCAGAGATTTTGCTGAGTATGTCTCCTTCACTTTGACAGGTTGTGTAGCACGAACAGTAAATTCTCCCAACCAACACCTGTTAAGAACTGACGACGTTATTAGCTGCTGTTTGGACCTCAGTGCTCCCAGCATCTCCTTCCGGATAAATGGTCAGCCAGTCCAAGGAATGTTTGAGAATTTCAACATAGATGGCCTCTTCTTCCCAGTTGTCAGCTTTTCTGCAGGAATAAAGTTAGCACTCTGTGTAGTTGTGTGGTTTGTTGTTGGTTGTTGTGTGTAGTTGTTTTTTTTTTTTTTTTTTTTTTCTTTTTTTTTCCACAGTGTGGTTTGTGGTGTATGTTTGGTTTTTTGTTTTTGTTTTGTTTTTTTTTTCCCCCCTTCTTTTCTTTCTTTCTTCCTTTTATTTTATTTTTTTTTCCACTATATATGTGATTATGCTGAATATTTCCTTAGCTGCCTTTGTTCTTATTTTGTTTTCTGACATCTGCTCCTTTGGCACAGTTCCAGTTCTTGGCTAGTGAGAGCTAAAAAGGTGTCCTGAAGAGATAGCTCATCTGTTGTTTTTTCAGCACACCAGTGTATTCAGGTTGTTTGCAGACAGATCTTAGAAACGGCCTCATTATCATTTCTTAGCTGACACATGACTGCATTTCACTCCAGGATAGCATTTTACCTGTATGAGAAGAAAAACATCAGACTTTGATGTTAAAAATATATTTGACTTAACTCATTTGTTATGAGTTATTTGAAGATGCATTATCTGCACTTACCTTAAGAAATGGTT